TTTTTTTTTTTTGTCGATAGTTTCTTTAGGCTTTTGGTAAGAAGCATTGTTAAAATATATTAAATTACAGTGTCTATTAACAATTGCTTTGATCTTTAAAAAAGGATAGATACCTTGGGATACTTAGCTTAAATAGAATTATTAAAATACAGGGCTGTGTGTCCATTTACACTGTTTCTGTTTGGAATGACTTAGCAATATGAGCAAATACCAATTCCTGAATTAGGCCAGTGTCACGTGATCACGCCATCCTGGCTGTTGGTGGTGGGTTATATAGAACGTGCAGAGCCTTGTACAGGTTTCATGTGACCTTGGAAAATGAGAAGATAAGCTTAACTGATTTTGTGCCTTGAAAACAATGAACTTGCTATTTTTTAAATTTTGTGTGTTCTTTTTCATTTCTTTAAACTTCTTATTTCAAAATGGTTTTGAAATTTACCAAAAAGTTGCCTAATAAATACAGTGTAAAAAAAAAAGACCCATAGATCTTTGCTCAAATTCACCTGTTGTTAATATTTTGCCCCATTTGTTTTAGCCTACGTATGTATGTCTAAATGTATAAATACATAAATATACACAAACATATGCCTGGTTTTCTTTCTAGAACTGTAAGGGTCTAAGTTATATCAGAGATCTTTGTCTTTAAAAATTTCAGTGTGCATTTCCCAAGAATAGGAGAGTCAGTGTTTAATGTCTAGGAAACACTCACTGTGTACCCTTAGAGGCTCACAGGGCACATTACCTCTTCAAGGGCTCTCACAAATCTCGGAAAAAGAACTTAACAGTCTTACTTGCCAAAGAACTCTACCCTCCTCTCCACTTCTTTTTTTTTTTTTTAAAGAAATACAGAATATTAAGAGTGTTTTTATGCCCTTGACAGTGGGACCCATTACTCCTCAGACGCAAAACATAAGCATTCAGTTTTAGATTATTCTTTTCAGAAATCACAAATCATCTGTGAAGTGCTCTATTTCTCTGTAAAGCATTTTCCATAGCCTGTGGCTCAGGGGCTTTTATGTTTCTATTGTGATATATCTATATCTTTTTATTTCTGAAAGTTTATTCATGATATCTTTATATCCTTCCCACCTATGTTTATGGACTAAAAATCAGTTTTGTCATCTTTTGGGAATCTCAAAGGCGTTACCTTAAGCACCTCATTTATTGACCACATACTTTTGAAATCAGCTCTTTTATTAGCTTCTCTTTCAATGAACTTAAAAATAAAATGAGTAGTCTTTTCTTAGCTTGTCACACTTGGGCTCTTTGAGGATTAGCTGTTTCATCCTGTCTCCTCCCACATTTCCTATCTCTGCTTAACACAAGCACTGTCCTTCCTTCCAGGCTTTGGTTCTGAGCCCGTTAGCCCTTACTCGTTATTGATAGTGCACGGACCTCGTTAACTCCACCACGCCAGGCGCTGCACGGTGCAGATGTGAGACAGGTGCAGTGCCTGCCTGGAGCACTAGCATTAAAAGTCCCCCCCGCCCTCCCCCCAAAAGAAAGAAGCCCTGCTTTGCTTTGAACATGGAAAATAAATTTTATCTGAATAACTGCTTTCAGAAAAAGAAATGGTCCTCTTCATTAGCAGTTTCAGTAGATGGCGCTGTTGGGCTAATTTAGAATTCCTAGATTTATGTGTTCATGATTTATTCTTAGATTATTTGTAGTTCTTGAACTTTGTTCTCTGATTTGATTTACCTCTATATTCAGTGAGTAAAGTTAAAATTACTGGCTGAAAAGTAAAATGATTTCATTTTTATTAAAAAAATATTTTTTAGGGATTTCAGTTTTAAGAGTCTTACCTTTTTTCACTTTTGAGAACTTTATTCATCTGTTTTGATTCTGTAAATTAATGTTTTCATGGGTAATTATAACTACTTTTAAACAGAAACTCACAATTTCATTCACTAGCTTCAGGTGCATCGAGAAGACCCTGGGTACTTGGAAAGGTCATGGAAAAGGAATACTGTCAAGCCAAAAAGGTAAAACTACATCAGATAATAAAAACCTAGGACTCGGCAGGAAGAGTCAGATGGGCATACCACTTAACCACTGGCCAGTGGCTGGCCGTTTAGCTAACTTGATTGAGTTACACCTTGAATTTAATGAGTGCGAGTATGGACCAGCAGTTTTATAAGGATTTGTTGTTTCTCTTTAGAGAATAGAAGAGGGTAGATTACCGACCACTCACCAGCCTATGCATGAAAACTACTACACGTTTCTGTCTGTGACTAGCAAGTTACTAGTGTTTTCGTGTGCAGAAAGGCAGATTTTGTTTTCTTATTTTCATCTGCTGCCCCCATTGAAAGGAGATCGTGGAAAATATCTGATGGTTGCACATGTATCTGACTGTAACGTCTGCATTTTCTTGCTGTAGGGTCCTTAGACTCTACTGAGCAGTTCAGGGCCTCTCGGCTCCAAAAGCCTAACGAAACGTAAACTGTGTACTGACAGTTCCTTGATACACAACCGTGACCTGTGGCTCCCTTTGTACTGTATTGTTCAGCAGTGACTGCCAGCTCTTTCTCCCGGTGGGATTAGTGGTTCAGTTGCTCTCAGCCTGGGGAGGGCGGATCGTGGGTGGTTGGTTGGGTAAAGGCTTCCGCTCCCCCGCGCCCCCCAGGCCCGGTGCTCTCGCCCCATGCTCCCCAGGCCTGGTGCTCTAACCTGGAGCAGTATGGTCATGGTTTGGTTGTAACCATGTAAGTGATTCAATCCTTTTCTTCGTAGGCACAAAACAGATTCAAAGTTCCTTTGGGGACAAAGTTTTACAGAGTGAAAGCTGTGTCATGGAATAAGAAAGTATAACCTATGGAAGAAATTAAACGTTCTGTGACACTTTGCTGATTTGTCCTAAAGTGCTCACTCATCACTCCAGAAACAGCAGGCCGTCTTTTTATACAGAGGTCTCCGTGACAATATACTTCATTGGTGTATATCACTCACTTTTTAACTGGCTACGTTTTAGGAACAATAAATTCATCAAAACCCTTGGCTGAATCAAATTGGTTTTGTTTTGAGTTTTTTTTACCCAAATAACTAGAAATGCGGACCAAACTAGTTCATGTTCTCAAAGGGCATACCCTGCATTGTGGCTTACGGTTACAGCCATATTAATTGCCTGTTACATATACATTAGCTTGGACTTAGATATTAAATGTTAGTTATTATTACCAGCATTTGTCCTTTTGTGAAATCAATATCAGAAAACTTGCACTCTTAAACACATTCTTTATAAAATGTATAAATTCTGGAAAACTATTTAAAGAGGAGTGTTACTGCATGCAGATAATCATAACTTTGAGTTTGCCTCTGTAGATTACTAAAGCAAATTGTTTCCTTTATTTTTTTAAATGCCCTTTGATGTTTCAAAACAAAAACTTGTAATTTGGTGGACTGATGTCAGGGTTAGCCATGGTCAGCAATCTTCAAAAGCACTTTCAGCAGTGGCCACCTGGGTTCTACCGGGAAGCACGTGTGCTCTTGAGTTTCGAACGTGGCACTCAAACCTTCCCAGCCTCTTGATGATTTGGGTTAGAAGAATCATATTGATGAAATCGTCATTCATGGTTTGATTTCAGAAAAAAAGCATATTCATTGTACATTAACCATTTAGAGGTCATTTAAATAACAAAATATTGTATTGTAAAAGACATGTAGAATTTTAAAACAATAAAGATTTGAACCTGTAAGTGTGTGTGCCTTTTAAAGGAGGATACAGTTTTACCATATTTGAGTGATTGCTGGGAAGTGTGAAAATCTTGTTCTGTATCATAGCGAAAGAGAAACATGTTTATTACAAAAATGTTCTTTACCTATAAACTATGTAACAGGGTAAAACAGTGTTATGTAGACTAGAATTGTGTAAAATCGATATTTAGACGCACTGCTGTTGGAGCAAAGGTATTTAAAGGAGTTAGTTGAGGGGGATGAGGCTTGTTTCAGGTTTGTTGCTGGAGAACAATAATAAAATGATTCTTTTTCAGAAAATAATTTCTTCTTAAAATAAGTTAAATATTTTTTTAAATATGTATATCTAATAGTACAGAAAATGGAATAAACACCATAGTGTATAGAAAACGGAATTTGACAACATTAATGAATAAATGAACAAATGATTTCACACGTTTCTATTCAGTCCTTCTCAATGCAAAGAACACCAAAGCAATAAACTACTTTATATCCAGAGTGGTTTCGTTAAGCAGATTTGGTGGGGCCTCCTTTCACGCACATAAGCATATGGCCATTGCGCTGTGGAACCGCAATTGCCCTGACCCATGACGTGAAAGCCATCATCTTTTTTTTTTTTTTTAATGTTTTATTTATTTCTAGGAGAGAGAGAGAGACAGCGTGAGCAGGGGAGGGTCAGAGAGAGAGGGAGTCACAGACTGAAACAGGCTCCAGGTTCTGAGCTGGCAGTCAGCACAGAGCCCGACGTGGGGCTCGAACCCACGAACCGCGAGATCATGACCTAAGCGAAAGTTGGACGCTTAACCGACTAAGCCACCCAGGCACCCCGAAAGCCATCATCTCTTGATGCTGCTCTTTAATGCTGGATTTTGTTGCTCATAGTTTTTCTCACATCCTATTTTATATCCATCCTATCTGTCCACGTATCCCTTTATAAACCACATGTAAAGAAAATGCAATTTTCTTCATTCAAAAGAGAAATGAAACCTGGAAATCAAAACACTTGGAGTCCTTACCTTTGTATGGTTATGGTCAATGGACTAAGTGTATGGGCATCAGAACCCCTGAGTTCCATCTGGATCTAACCTTAATTTTGGGCAACCTACATAAACTTTGAATGAACCTGTTTTCTCATGTGTAAAATGGTATAAAAGGACGTACCTATAAGGTTATTTTGAAGGTTAAGTGATGAAATTGTTAAATATATAACATGCTTTGAACAGTCATTAAAAACATTAAGTATTCAACAAATATTAGCTACTAAGACTTTTTGCATAATCACAAACTGTTAAGCTCATTACCCAAACTCTAATAGAAATGTAGCTTTATTACAAGAGTAATGTTTAAGTCATTTTACTGCAAGTACAATGTAAGCACACGTGAATTATATGGATAGTTCTATTGATTTTTGCAATGATACCTCTGCATATGCTAACAGAAGGAGCAAAAATTATCCAAACTTTATTTTTGAAATTACCATGGCATAAAACATGTGCAATGCTTTCCAAAAAATTAATACTCTCCCATACTTCTGTTCCATTTGTTAGTTGTGCCACCTAGCGGTGAAATTTTGCTTTTTAGCCTTTTTAGCTTCTATGCCAGATAATAGGACTATACTGCAATTATCTTGATAAACAATTTATCGATTTATTTTCTTATATGAAATTGTAGTTACTCCGTAAGAACTTTCTCTGCTATTTTCCAGTAATTTACTGTTACTTTCCAACTGGTTCACTAGCATTTACATGATCATGACTCTATAAATACTGTTCGCTGAGCAAAGTCATGAACTATGATTACATTTCCATTTTTCTACAGCCCATAGCCCTCAGAAGCTTTTCTATTGTTTTTTTCTTCTCGTGCTATATTGTGTAATTGCCGTAGTTGATCTTTTCAAATGCTTCCTATTTTATTTCATCAAGTCACGTCCCCCAGAGACGTGCGTTTCAGAACCGTCTCTTCACACACAGCCAGTGTGAACGAATTCTCACTTTGACCCTTTCTGTTTCAGCTGAAAGCACACCTTTGTTTTGCTGCTTACAAAATGTCATCATCTTTCCAGCTTCCTGTAGCAGTTACTCTACTTCCCAGATGTTCATGGCCTCTCCGCTGCTCTTCCGGCCGGTGGTCAGGCCGCGCCACCTGTTAGGCTCTTGTAGTGACAGCACCGCGACCAGGTGTTTAGTGTTGTGTCAGGGTTTGCTCCAAACCCATTACTTGTTCACCTGGCTGCGGTCAGCTGTTGACTCTGCTCAGGCTGGATGCTCTGTAACGTCATCACTCCAGGGTCTGAAGGTTTCTTAGGGCTGGCCTCAGGGATGCTTTGCTCCTCTTATGGCCTGTCCGCACACCCTGGGTTTCTAAGCTGCAGCAGCAGCATTCTGAAAAGGCAGGCAACCAAAGTCAGAAGTTTGAGAGTACAGTTATGCCACTTGTCTTTTGGTCAAACTAATAGAACCCAGTCAGATTCCAAGTGTAGGAGTCATGGGGGAGAATGGTCTTTCTTACACCACCACAGTTCTTGCTGAGGTTGGGTGCAAAACAGCCATTGGCCTTTAATATTTAGAAATAGTTATGGATAGCCTTTTTTTTTTTAAAGAATAGCATGTGATTTAATAATGTCTAAAACCACAAAACTTTAGGTAATACTTTAAAATAATTTCCATAAATATGTATTTTACTTACTAGTAAAACCTGGAAGCACTTAAAACTGTTCTTGTTCACCAATCGATAGCTTTTATTATTAGTCATACTCTCAGACTATAAACAAGCTATCTTTGGCCAATTTTTGAGAATACTTTTAGATAATTTATAATCTTTGTAAGATGGGAGTTCTTTCAAACAATTCTTAACATAGTGGTAATGAGACTCTACCGTCAGCTGAAAGCTATTTGGTTTACATACTTCTTAAGTGTCTCACACTTGGAGACCATTTAGATTGAGCCCCACCTGTTCCATTCCTACCTTAAAATAAATAAGTCTTACTAGCAACACTAGTCCTCATGTTAGTGGAAACAAGTGGCAAAGCTCCATGTAATAAAATGCAAGATCAGTTCTCTGCAGTCTCCTCATCAAAGTAATAACTGTTGGTGTCACATAAGAATATATCTGGCGATGCCTCTTTAGTGTCTGTGCCCCCATTAAAATGCTGTGGTCTTAAGCCATTTTAACAGATGTCACCCTTTCCTTCAGAGCAGGTGCTAGGCCAGCTAGATGGAGGAATCCCTCCATTCTCACTAAACTCACTATAATATGGGCAAATCAGGAATTTCCAACACTTGCAGGGTAAAAACTTTTTACCAGTTTTCTGTGTTGCTTCCAAAAGTTCTCCAGTTTTGTGGAAGCTTATAGCAAAGATGCTTCAGACATTCTAATTCCCAATTGATGTTGTAATACTCCTTTCTCAGACTGGTCTAGAAAGGCCACCGATTAATTCCTCCACCAGTCAGTCATAATATTACTCAGTGACTAGCTAATGCAGGTGTCACTTGTAATCTCTTTGGAATTCCGCTGTACCGGGGACTGTCTACCTAACCAGCTCAAGCTTCTGACGCAACTGCTCAGTTTCTTAAAGAGTTCTTAATGCCTACAAGTGGAAAGCCAAATCTCAGTAGCGTATATGATACCTGAATTCTCAGCTATTTCAGTTAAAATTATATACAAGTTTATCTCTTTATCCAGCCTGTTCAAAATTGTGAATTCTGGGGGTACCTGGGGGGCTCAGTCAGTAAAACAATCAACTCTTAATTTTGGCTCCGGTAATCTCACAGCTGGTGAAATCAAGCCCTCCATCAGGCTCTGTGCTGACAGCATGGAGCCTGCTTGGGATTCTCCCTCTCCCTCTCTGCCCCTCCTCCTCCTCATTCTCTTTCTCTCTCTCAAACGTTTGTTAAAAAGTATGATTTCTGGAGCTGTCACCATATATGTAGGTATTAACTTTTAAAACAGGTTAGACACAGTCTAGGAGAAATGTATGCTTTGCCCTGTTTCATGCCACCATATACATAACTAAATCCTTAAGAAACATGTTTTTATGAATATTCCTCAAATTTGGCCTGTAGCATTGAATACAAGAAACTAAGTGAGCAGCTTTTTCAACTTTGGCCATCTTGCACTCTGGAAATGTTGCCAGAAGAGTTTACGTAGGCTCCCTGTGTGTAGGCCAGTGCAGGGCTTGAACTCACAACCCTGAGATTAAGATCTGAGCTGAGATCAAAAGTCCATGACACTTAACTGACTGAGCCACCCAGGAGCCCCTGCTCTCCCAGAGGAGTCCTAACAGCACTACAAGCAACTGTGCACAATTTAAAATATTTTTAATTTAATTGCCTTAATATAACAGCATTCAGAAATTCTACAAGAATTTTGTCATCGCTCATCCTGATGTCCATGGGGATCTGGAGTGCCAGGCAAGTCACCATCCAACTTTGGTACCCACTATTTCCCAAAGCACCTCCACATTGGTGAGAACTGTGAACAACTGTGAGGCTTTCACTCAAGTTCCGATTTATTGAATAACTGGCTATTTGCTATTATCAATAGGGTATTTACAGTTAAGATAGTTGAATCCCACACCACGAACTAAGTGATAATTACTAGTTCACAACAGTAAAAGGTGGGTACAGGTTTGTGGATGCAACTTGAACGTCAGGAAGAAATCTCTCCACTTTCCCAGCATATCCGAGGTGTCTTATTACAAATTACTCATCACCCCACAGGCAGCCTGTGCTTCTCTGTCTTCTAAATGTCTTTACTCAAGCTGTTTCCCAAAAAATAAATGAACGAATCGTAGGACTAACTTTCCATGTCTCTGTATAAAGACAGGCTATGACCATGGTCAAAGTGTAATGAAATTCTCTGTGAGACTACAACCAAATCCATGTTGCCTCAACTGGACTTCAAATCCTAGGGGGCTCCTGGGTGGCTCAATAGTCGATTGAGTCTCCAACCTTGATTTTGGCTCAGGTCATGATCACATAGTCATGGGGCTCTGAGCTGAGTGTGGAGTCTGCTTGAGATTCTTTCTCCCTCTGCCCATTGAGATTTCCTCCCTGCATATGTTCTTTATACTGCTTATTAGAATAAGCTAACCTGGAAATGGAAATTTATACAAAAACCTGGTGAGATTTTTCTATAAATCTTGAACATCCCAACAATTTAGGCATACTAAAATGTCTCCTCAATGCCCACTACCATATTATTTCTAGTTTTATTTACAGAGCTTGTCATTAAACGGTTATGATTAGAATGATGTTCAGAAAATCTCTATTAAATGTGTGACATTGAGATGATTCTGTGTATTCACGTAACAGTAACCTTCAGAAGTCTTATTTGGGTAAGAAGAGCCAGAGCAAAATGCCTTCTAATTCACTGTGGCAATTCTTTTAAAGGTGAATTGGAGGGGGGATGTCTAATATCAGTGAATTTAGTAAAGTCACTTTGCATAGCACTTGCTCAAGTCCTTTGCAATGTTTTGGGGGAGCCCATCTAATCAAGGTTACTATAATAACAAAATTGGATGTTGACTGAAAGGGGTGAGTGGTCACTGTGGCCCTTTCCTGGATAAAGTTCTACAAATTAATGTTAAGAGCACAAGCATAACTTAAAAGGATATAGTTCCTTAGTGATGAGGAACCTGTTGGCTCTTCTGCAGGAAACCTCTTACATTAGTATGAACTGCTGGTCTACAGAAGTAGTCCACGTTGTCAAGATAATGCTCAAGAAACCACGAGTCTTCAGGGTTGACCTTTGTCACTCCATCTGAATTTAGCCTTTGTCCTTGAAGCACGTACGCCTTTGCTCTAAGGAAAAACTCTGAACCTTATCCAATCAGGTAAACCAATTACACTTGACCAGTAGGCCACAAGGAAGCGAGGCCGAATCAGATAACACACCAGTGACGCACACTCAGGGCAACCGACGCAGTCTGCCATGCTTTTGGTCTCTAATTTCTGTGCATGGGGGAATTTCAGTCCTGCACTTTGCTCAGGTTTATCTGTAGTCCCACTTCATCAATACCCATAGTTGAGCCTCAAAAATACATGCCCTGAACATAGCCCTCCTTAATCTTTTGGGGAGACTTCAATGTAAACATCTAGAAAACTTGCTTCCTCTGGAGAATTCCAATTTTATGCAGATCCTTCTGCTTAGAATTATAGCTATGACACAATGCGACATTCTGACAAGGGGCAACGTCAGAATGCTTCTAGTGTTTAAAACTGGGCTCAAATAGGACCTCCAAAGCAAATTACTGGCTAACCTATAACTTTTTTTTAGCCCCAGATTTCCTGTAGGAATTTCTTTTATGTGTAAGAAATAAACCTTTCAGTGTGTTGTCATGGTCGCAATGGGAGAAGGTAAGTGAAAGTATTCTGCTTATTGAAAAGTGATGAGCAAATATTGATACAGTCCTAGAAAGACTTTTCAAAGATTCTACATACTCTTTTTAACACTTTATTTCTTAACAGGGAAGGGTCAGAGAGAGGGAGACACAGAATCTGAAGTAGGCTCTGGGCTCTGAGCTGTCAGCACAGAGCCTGATGCGGGGCTCGAACCCACGAACCATGAGATCATGACCTTAGCCAAAGTCAGATGCTTAACCAAATGATCCACCCAGGCGCCCCATCTGTGTACTTTTTAAACACTAATTAGAAGTTGCAGGGCGGTCTTCCTAGTCTTCTCCATCAATGCTATTATTACTCACTGTCCAAAAACAGGGTATAGAAGCCCACCCTAACCCCCGCCCACCTCCAAAACCACACAAAAGTCAAACCATGGCACCTCAGATGAGAGCAGATGACAGCCATGATATATTTAGGGATATGAAGAGGCACCAAAACCTCCCTCTGTTCTCTTCCCTCTGTTTTTTCCTTGGGATAAAGATTTTAACACAAGAACTTACAAATAAATTCCCATTCTAGAGTTAAGCTGTAGCAGTACTTGGGGCGCCTGCCTGGCTCAGCTGGAAGAGCATGTAACTCTTGATCTCGGGATGGTGAGTTCGAGCCCTATGCTGGGTGTAGAGATTACTTAAAAATAAAATCTTAAAAAAAAAAAAAAACGGGGTGTAGCAGCACTTAAAGATTACTTAACATCCCTAGTTTGTATTGTAAAGTAATTTCAGGGGCACCTGGGTGGCTCAGTCGGTTTAGCATCAGACTCCTGATTTCAGCGCAGGTCAGGAGCTCATGGTTTGTGAAATTGAGCCCCACATGGAGGTCTGGGCTGACAGCACAGGGTCCTCTTCCGGATTCTCTGTCTCATTCTCTGCCCTTCCCCCACTCAGCATGTGCAGGCATGCACACGCTCTCAAACAGTAAAAAATAATAAAATAATTTTAGAATATATATGTTAGAATATTTTTGAAAACATTAAACATTTG